TGAATGGCTATGGTTAAAGAAGGCATGTAAAGGCCGATCGACGCAGTCAAACAAGTTGAAGGCTGCCGTAGCTGCCACTATATATATGATTTGGCAGGAAAGAAATAGGAGAGTAACTCTTAGTAAGTTTTTGGTTGAAAATGATGTATATAATAATATAGTTAATTTTTTGAGATTAAAGATCTGAAAGGTGTATTTCCCCGGGTATACTTGGGAGGAATTTGTATATGTCATCTAACGTCTAATGGAAAACTTGCCTTTTTCCAAAAAAAAAAATTAGTTAATATAATCACAATAACACATGACTAGAATCATTATTCATAATGTCACATTCATGTTACTCTTACCTTATGACGTAAATCAACAATTACCTTGAATATATCTTTTCCACCAAATTCTTTTGACAAGTTATCTATATAGATAACTAACACCATCAAATATGAAATATTCTAATGGAAACAATCCTCCATTATCCATTATTCAAAGTAACACGATCTTTAAACTTTAATCAAACACAAAAATACAAGCGTGACAAGATTTTATCAACTTTAATAAAGATAATTGCATCTTTTTCAAGAATTATTTTTCATATAATTCATAACACATGTATCTAAACGTTTCTCCATTACAACCAAGCAACTTTCTCATATCAATAACCTTATCATTATACATTGAATGATTGAGAGTAATAAACTATTTAACTTCCACTAATTTTCAAGAAACACTATTTTATCATAACCTTTAAATGTCTTCTAATAAAGGAAAGTTATTTTCTTAAATAATAATAGGTATTTCACAAGATCTTAAATTTTGCATTACTCTTAGCATAATTACTAATGCCTTCCTTTTTACCATTTTTCCAGTTGAACAACATGTATCTCCAAATTTAATCAAAACTGATGCAATCAAAATACCAATCACTTAAGAGATACATAAATTAACACCAGTCAAACATTGGCAGTATAATTTTAATAATAAAACTTTGTTTCCATAAAAGTGTGTTGTAATGTACTTTAATCTATAGCATGATTCACTTTTATTCATAAGAGTTCAAGACACAACTATACTTTATTTGCACTTTATATTGATTAAATAAGTCCATAAAATTAAATCTTAACAAGTCAATTAGTAGGAAAATTAACCTTTAGTAAATATAAATCAATATTTATCATCCTTACTAATTGCTCCCACTATTTCAAGTTAAAATGTACAACAATCATCTTTGGGTAGAATCTTGCATGCACGAATATGAAAGTAGCAACTTTATATCTTAACTTTAATAGTTCACATGTGATCTTCCCAATAGATCAACTAGTTTTTAATGACATAGTAATTTAATACAACCAATGGGTATGGAACTTTATTAAACTTAAAAAAACTTTATTACAAGTGAATTAATAAGAATGATTTCATAGAAAATAGTCTCATTTGGGCAGAAAATTCTCTATAAAACGAGAATAAAAAACCTTTACTAACCACTCACACTTCTTTTAGTCAATATGCACAATTACCCCCTTTGGGCAGGTAATCATACACATTAATTTCAAGAAGCAAACATTCCAAAATCCTTATTGAGAAATATACAAATTTAATAGATGACCCACTTTGGCAGTATCACCCACATCAATTCACATACTCCCACTAGAACACTTACCTATAAATAATAAAACATTCCAGAATCCTTATTGAAAAACATGTGAATCTCAATAAATGGTCTACTTTGGTAGTACCATCCACATCAACTCACAAGCTCCCACTGAAACAATTACCCATAAATAATGTAACATTCCAGAATTCTTATTGGAAGATTAACCAATCTCCTACTAGAACAAAATTTCTTAATATCTAAAAAAATCTTAAGTGATAGAAATCATTAATCCTAATAAATAAACTTTTAATATTCATATTAAGCATAAAACATTACTAGGACTATCATGTATTTATATAGTTCTATAATACCTCTCAAACACATCTTTTAGGTTAAATACCCTTTTTGGCCCTTTACTATAGGAAAAACCCCCTTTAGTACCTGTACCGAAAAAATTCCCTTTTTGGTCCTTAAATTTTAAAATCCGACCCCTTTTTAGTTCTTCCGTTAAATTTTGGTTGATGTAGCAGCTTAATTAACAAAAAAATTCATTTTTTTTTTGTTTACTAAATTACGTGAAAAATCCATCTGGCAAAAATTGATGACATGGTTAAATTTTTTACCTATAATTACTGATTTACCCTCAAAAATTGATGACATGATTAAATTTTTTACCTTTAATTACTAATTTATCCTCATCTCTTCCCCATCCTCTCCTTCCTCCAGTCTTTTTTTCTTTTTTTTTTTTTCTTTTTTTCCTTTTACCTCCAGGTGAACCCAAGAGCTTGGGTTCGCGACGAACCCAGGCACCTGGGTTCTTGTGTTCATGATGAACCCAAGCACCTAGGTTCATCACAAACCCACAAGCTAGGTTCGTCGCGAACCCAGGAACCCACGACGAACCTAGGTGCCTGGGTTCAAGAGCTCTTGGGTTCGCTTGGAGGTAAAAGAAAAGAAAAAAAAAGGAAAAAAACGGAGAAAGGAAAGGATAGAGGAAGAAGATTCCTAGGTTCGTGATGAACGCAAGCTCTTAGGTTCGAGACATGGGTTTCTTGTGTATGTTGTAAAGAGAAAAGAAATGGTGGGACAAGTTGTTGAAGTAGGAAGGGAAGCCTCATGTGTTCCTGAAGAGGATGAGAATAGTATTCACCATTGATTGTATATATTATGTGTGTTTGTTTCTTCTTTAAGTTGTGTGTTGTAAAGAAAGCAGAAAAGAGATGGTGGGATAGGTTGTTGAAGCAGGAAGGGAAGCCTCTTGTGTTACTGAAGAGGATGAGAATGGTATTCAGAATTGATTGTATATATTATGTGTGTTCGTTTGTTCTTTAAGCTGTTGATTGTTTCTCATGAGCTAACAAAACCTATTCAACTTCTTTCTAGGAAGAAACTGTTGGAAACAATTAATTAACCAAGTCAGGGTGTTCAATTGATCACAGAATCATCCAACCAAATTACTCCATTTTTTTGTACTTACCTCTTAAACAAGGGTAAGTATGGAAGAAGCTCATGGGTTCATGACAAACCCAGGTGCCTGGGTTCACGACGAACCCAGCTCTTGGGTTCGCTTGGAGGTTAAAAAAAAAAAAGAAAAGAAAAAAAGAAAGGCCGGAGGAAGGAAAAGATGGGGAAAAAGATGGGGGTAAGTATGGAAGGAGCTCATGGGTTCATGATGAACCCAAGCGCCTGGGTTCGTGATGAACCCAAGCGCCTGGGTTCGTGATGAACCC